ACCAAGCACTCAATCATGCTGTGAAAATGAAGTTGCTGCTGGACACAGGGACAACTTCTAGCGCTGCTCTGATGTACTGCACCAGGTCATTTAGACTGAGGGTCCCTATTTTATGATGTATTCCAGTGAGAAAAAGATGCTTTGTTAAAATACCTCGTGTAATATTTAATTATCTCCTTTCTCTAAGAGAACTTCCCTGTCTTTGCTATGATTTATTAAAAAAATTCAAATTATTAGCTAATTTATTTAATGTGTACAGTGCTGAATGCAGACTGTCTTGTACTTAAGTGGAATAGGAAGTTGCTAGCCCATAGTCTTATCTACATCAAATAAAAATACCTTTGATAACACAGGTGGGTACTGATGTGTGGTATTTGCACGTCATTAAAAAAATAGGAAGGCACTTGAATGAGGTGTGAAAGATTTAAACTTTAAGAGGTTCTGTATCTCAGTGCTAACAAGTGTTTAACAATCAGGAGAAAAGCTTTTGTTTTAAGTGGTGGAGCAGTTCTTAGAAAAGGAAACCAGTTTATTAAATCCAGTAGTAAATAAACTAATTCTTGGCCACTGCAGACTTTAATGGTGACCTTCCTGTTCTTGCAGTCCACTCTTTGCCATCTTTTAAGCTATGCACAAAATACAAGACTTAAATTTACTTTTAAAGGGCTTTTACAAACTCACAATGCAAATATCTTCTTTGAAATATTATGTGCAGATCTGTCCTTCAAGATTTATTTCATTTATTCAGGAAAGGGAAATAGGGAGTGGGAGAAAGAGCAGCGTGTTCTATTCTAATTTATCATGTGGATTAATTTTGTAACATGGCAATTAACAACTGTTTTATAAGTTCTAGAGAGGATAGCAGAATTATTTAGTGGTTGTTTACTGTGCAAGCACCTTACTCAAGTGCTCTGCTGGATTCTTACAAACGTGCTTCTGAAATGAGAGGGTTTCTCAGAGGAGTCTTGGCAAATTCCTAAATCTGCTGTAATTACAATTCACATCCCAAAGGTATTTAAAAGTCAAGACAAGGCGGTCTTCAAAAGCATGCGTGAAATGTCTGAGGATGTTATCAGGCAACCTTCATTACATTTTCCTCAGTTTGTTCATATGTCGTTCATCTCGCTGTAATAAAAATGTAGATAAAAGCCTGTACCAAACTTCTTTGCTTTTACTCATTTTCAAAAGACTTAATTTACACTTACTTTGTTTTGGACCTCTCTTGCTACCCTTTTAGGTGTTGATTTGACATCCAAGGGAGCTGGTCCTTGGTTTGATGTCAAGCAGTGAAGTAGGGTGCCTCATAACCCACCTCCCCAGTCCTACCAGTCAGACATCAGCTCGCTCCCAGTACAGCCCGATAAGGGTTGGTTGTCCAAGGATAACTGGTCTCCAGCAAGGCTGGATGTTGAATTTCCCAGTGAAGGGAAAGGTCAGTGTGACCCATTTGCAGCGCCGCTCCAGTAGGTTTGGCGTAAAGACTGGTACTTCAATGGAAACTTCAACACCTTCTGCTTTTTTCAAGGCCACCAACTTTGTTACTGAAAGAAATCATCTATACAACAAACTGCAGTCCCTACAGCAACGTGAACCAAATATCCGCACAGCAAATGTGGTGTCTTCATTCCGTTACCAGAATAAATAGTTCTGCTATTATCAGAGTAGCTGAAGCTCAAAATAATACAAAGAAATCGGAAAATAAAGCAGTCTGGTTCTGAAATCCAGGAGCCAAACGTGTATGGAGTGAAGTACACAAAATGTGCAGTGTGTCATGGTATTAAACAAAAATCAGTTTGCATTTATGTGCCTGTGTTTCCAGTCCTCACGCAGTCAGTTCCTGTCTCTTCTGATAGTTTGTACCAGTGTGAATGAGCTGTGAGGGTTTGCTCCAAGGCAGGTTGTCACCCATGCACTAAATAGATGTATTTTTTCCAGTGAAGTCTTGTGAACAGGAGGGAATGTGAAGCAGTTACCATCCTGAAATCAGCTCCCTGAAAACACAGCTACCTGAAAATCTGCTTTTCTCTGCACACCCTGAGGCTTACAGATCTCAGCCCCCCGCACCAGCTCCTGCAGTTGTTCCCACTCATTTTTACTGCTCATCTGCAGTTCCTGTTTCTTGAAACCAGCTGTATTTGGGTTACACCCACAGGAGGACCCATTTTTAGCCATCTATTGGGAAAGCTGAGCTACTTTTATTCCCAAACCTCGGGCTGCCCATGGATGGCATCGTCACTGCCTGACAAGAAATTCCTGTCAGTGTAGTCAAGGCCATGCCATCAACTGGTGAAAATGGCTTTGGACCAGTAGGGCATCAACCCTGAATACAAAAACTCCATTGAAAACACAGTTTTTCCCTTCAGAAACCACACTTTCAACAGAATCAGACAGGGGCTGGATGCAGTCTGCTCCAGAAGTCATCACCAAGGGGTTCAAATGGGGACAGAAAACATGGCTGCTGCTGTTGAGGAAGGATGAGCAAATGGAAGTAGCTCTGGCTTTGGGGACTTTCCTTCTGAAGCAGTAGCGTGGGTGTTGTTTTTTTCAGCTAGTGTATTGATGAAAGTTCACATCTTTGAGAAAAAAGAAGTAACTGTTGGGAAAGTCAGAAATTTTAAAAGTAGTAAATCTTAATTATACTCCACAACTTCGCAAGTCTCCTTTAACTTGGCTAACACCCCCATCCCATTGCAGAGATTTTATGTGCAATTTGAGAAGCAAAAAGCAGTTTTTGCATCCTTCCAGGATGTGAACAGATCTACAAAGCCGTGCCAAGCTCCGGAGAGCCGCGGTGCCAGAGGGACGGATGCTGTAGGGTTTGGGATGCAGAGGAAGAAAATCACCCGGTTTACGGGAACCCGGGCCTGGTTTCACTTTCAGGGAGGCCATTAGCACGACTCTGTAAACAGCCCATGGCTGCCAGTCATTAAATAAGGACAGGAAAAGAAAAAAACAACAGGAGATTCATATTGCAGCTACTCCCAAGGGGACGTCATTGTAGAGTGCTTTGGGAATGTTACAGCTGCAAAAGTCGCAGCCTGAAGCACAAATATGGGAGTTACTCAGTGAGTGCAATGCAAGGATTACAAGTGAAGAGCACACAGCAGAGTGTTAAATGTTACACAAACTCCCCCAGCTCTTGCCTTGGTTGTGAAGATCATTTTCTGTGCCAGTAGAAAACAAAACAAATCCTATACCAAAATCTCTGATCAAACCGGCGGCTCTTTAGGACATAAATGTTTGCGAATGTTTCAAGGGCCTAAGCAGCGGCTGCAGCCTAAATACATTAACGAGATAAAAAGAAGGTTGTATATAAGTCCAAGGCTCCCTGATGAGTTTGTAATCCTATAAAGACAAAACAAAGCCATCAGTCATCCAGCTTTGTGCTGGAACATCTGTGCTTCTCATGCTGTCCGTCAAGGAGATGGCATTCGGCAGTTGTTTGTTAATGTGCAAAGATACCAACAAACTAAACAAAATACACCTCTGACCAGAGCGCACAAGCTATTTTTTGTTTGTATAATGATCTGTAAACCTCAGCACAGCTTCATAGGTTACAAACACCAGCATGTTGACGGGAAAGGCGCGGATGCAGTTCAGCCCCAGGCCTTTGAAGAGCACTTGGGCACCCTCCCTCCTCACGCTTTCCCTGGCGCAGTGAACGAGGCCTCTGTACTTGGGCTGCTCTGACTCCTCCGTCTGCAGCCGAGATTTGATGACATCCATGGGGGTCGCCAATCCCCAGGCCAGGACCCCAGCGAAACCCCCCGAAAGCAGCACAACGAGGAAACCTGGAGGAGTGAAGGGAGGAGCTGTCAGCGCGAGCCTTGCACTGATGTGGCCACAAGCATCTCAGATCTGTTAACTAACTGGGTTAACTTGGTTTTTCAGCAGTTATTTTGTCCAGCTCTTGTAGTTGGGAGTTTTTGGTGATTTCCCTCTTGATTTCATGCTCATTTTTTGCATACATCATATGGGAGCATCTACTTTAACACCGTATGAACCAGAAGCGATGCAGCCTGAGAACACTTAAGCTGGGTCTACTTATTTTTATAATTCTCAGGAAGATGCTGAATGTCACCTATCTGAACTCCTCTCAAAGTGGGTTTTTTGGAGCCAAATCACAACCAGGAAACTTTACATTCTGTGTCTTTGCATTTACTGTGTCTTTACATTTACGGCTTCTTTACATTTACAGCATCTTTACGTTTACAGCATCTTTACATTCTGCACCTAGACTTTATTTTCAAGCTCTGAACTGACCCTCATCCACACTCCACGATGGCTCCTGGCAGGTTTGCCCATGTTTCATTTCTTTTTATGTATCCTATTTCTGTATTAAGAGGATTTCACACCCACACACTACGCACCAGAGCGTAGGTACTGGGTGATGTTTGCTGAGAGCCTGATTGCTCTCTTAGCAAAAAATAAGCTGTTTTTGCAGGTAGTGCCAGATGCTTTCCAGTCCTTACCTGGTTTATTTTTCCCAGCTGGCGTGAACCAGTCACACAGAGCAGAATAGGTAAGGAAATAGATTGCAGAAGAGGAGCAATCCCTGCAGAGCAACGCGGAGCAGCCCTTGTAGAGACCCCCAAACCCTTCCTCCTTGGCGATCACCCTCAGACAGTGCAGAGACCCTCGGTATTTTGGCTTGGAAACGGGCTGGGGAGTGGTGACCGAAGGATGGGGGTTCCTCTGGGTCTGCAGGCGAACTTTAGCCACTTCGCTGGGGGTCATCAGCACCACCTGTAAGGTCAGATTTAAACACATTTAAACAGTGTTTTGATCCTTCTCCCGCAAATTCCTCATCTCCCACCTTTTCAGGTAATAATATTGACTGAAATAACAATATTGCCTGAAATAATATTTCCTGAAGCCAGGAAGTTGCCACCTCCTCCCCTCTGCCTGCACTCAATCCCACCCAGCAGCAGCAGGACACGTGTGTTTGAGCTGTGCTATGCAGAGCAGAATCGTCAAGGGATATTAAATACCTGTATTTATTAAACCAGGTAGGCATGGAAAGGGAGTGTCCTCAGCTACAGGATAGCCTGTATCTGTATTTGGAGCCCCTAGCACAACTTGAGGCCATTTCTTCTCATCCCATGGCTTGTTACTGGGAAGCAGAGACCGATACCCCCCTCGCTACCCCCTCCTTTCAGGAGCTGCAGAGGGGATAAGGTCTCCCCTCACCTCCTCTTCTCCACTTGAACCCCCCAGCTCCCTCAGCCGCTCCCCAGCATTCGGCTGCTCCAGACCCCTCCCCAGCTCCCTTGCCCTTCTCTGCCCACGCTCCAGCCCCTCAATGTCCTTCTGCGAGTAAGGGGCCCAAAACTGACCCCAGGATTTGAGGACCACGCATGTTTTCCAGGTAGCGATGCCTCACTGAGTTTTGAGGCCTAACAAAGCCATGTCCTGCCCATTTCTACAGCTGGGCCTGTGCAGCCTTGGTCAAAACACAGGCCTGTGTGTTAACACACTGAGTTATGTCTTTCTTACATAAACGTACTGTCAGAGCCCAGATTGTTTTTCTTCTTTTTTCTGCGTTTGCTGCCAAGGTCATTCTTAATAGCCTGTTCTTAAGTGTTTTTGGCACTCTAAATCTGGCAGGACTCAGCCCTGTCACAGAGCCGGTCAGCGAGGGGCCAGTATGGACAGAGGTTGACCTCCCTGCTGCATTTCCAGCCTCCTGTGTTTATGAACACGATGTCTTGCTATGCTTTATTTTCGGTTGTTTAACCTACCCGGGCAGCGCCGGCAGCGCCTCCAGCCAGGGAAACATCCAGCTTGGACGGCTTCGCATCCGCAGCCCCGTATCGCAGCTTGCAGAGGGCACAGAGGAAGTTTTTGTAGGCGCCAAACGAAACAGAAGAAATCACTGATACTGTGAGAACCGACGCAGAAACGCCTTTGTAAAATCCCCTAACCTGGGTGGAAACGGGGAAAATGACATTTTATGAGGGAATGGCGTGGGAAAGCATCTGCTCAAAAGCAGTGGCCAAAAGTTACTCCCATCTTACAGCTTGTCAGCACAGCTAAATTTCATCCTGACAAATCACAGAATCATTTGGTTGGAAAAGACCTCTAAGATGATCGAGTCCAACCATAACCTGTCCACCACTAAACCATGTCCCTAAGCACCTCATCTCCCCTTCTTTTAAATCCCTCCAGGGGTGGTGACTCCACCACTGCCCTGGGCAGCCCCTTCCAATGCCTGATAACCCTTTCGGTGAAGAAGAAATGGTTGTTCATAACTGCTGCCCATCAGAGGTAGCTCTGTGTCTCCAAATCAAGGCATCCATAGCTGGTATCAGCCATTCTGATGGGAGGTACCTACTTTTTCCGTCCTGTATGTGTCCTGAATGCAGTGCCAAATCCCATTGTAGCGCCTCTCGGTCTGAATTCGCACCTAGGAACACAGGGGCAACGTTAAAATGCAGGCATCAGATTAAAATTTAAAAAAAAAACAACAAAACAACAAACAAATGCCATAGCAGCAAACTAGTTAATTAGCCATAAAATAGCATCACTAAACAATTTACCTTTTTTCTTAAGAGAAAAATAATGCAACCAAATAAAGTGAAATATTCTGATTTTAACAAGTCAAGAAATAAAGCATCAACCTGTACCTTCACTGTGTCCAGCGGATAACCCACTGCTGTGCTCAGACCACCTGAAACAGAGAGGGAATTGGAGATGGTTAACAGTGCACACTGCGATAAACCATTTCCCCCCATCATGGCAAATCATTAGGGGAATGGCTGGAAAATTACACCCAAACCCCTGGCCGTGTTCCTGGGTGATCTTCTCTGGTGACCCTGCTGTGGCAGTGGTTGCACTGGGTGAGCTCCAGAGGGCCCTTCCCACCCCACCATGCTGTGAGTCTGTATGGTATGAACTGGTTTTGCTCCCCCTCTTGGCTTAGGCAGTAAAGCATCTTTGGGCTGTGACCAAGCACCAAGGTGCAGAGCATCCCCACTCACACAAGAGGGTCTCTGGGGCAATTTTGGTTCTCTGTGCTTCACTTGGAAGTATTAAGGAATAAAAGCAGTGTGCACAAGGACATCTATAAAAGAGGGGTGCCAGGGACTGGATACATCCTGACTGCTCTTTACAAAGCACACCTAGAGCTGTGGGTGAGAAATTCATCGGGAATTCACGGCACCATGCAGGACTGAGTCTCTGAAGCCCATCTTCTATGTGCACCGAGCATTTCTGCAAAAGCAGAGGTTGTTTGAGCCCCACCAGGCCAGCCCCACCGCTGGGGCTCAGCAGGATTATGGGGCAGTGAGGGATTAGTGCCGGGCCTGCGCAGAGCCCAGCATCCCAGCTCCCCTCCCTCTGCACCCCGGCTCATTTCCAGACCTTAAAATAGCCACTGGGGCTGGAAACACATTAATCCCCTGAGACAAAGTTGCTGCTTAATGGCAGATAAGGGGAGTGAAAGAGCTCTCACAAGGACTGCTCCAGTCACAGTAACAGATACATCCCCCTCCATCCCTGCTGTTACCTCCACTGCATTTCTCAGCTCTAATCTCAACGCTTTTATTGGCAGATACAACGGATGATAAAGGTAATTTCCTCCCAGAACACCAATTGCCAAGTCATCTGAGAAGGAATCAGGCTGGGGAGTGAAGGAGCTGAATCCACATGAGTTATTTAGATGGAAATCCAGTTCATTAAAAGTGCTGGATGAGCCCTTCAGGGAGCCAGGCAGGCAGAGCACAGTGAGGGGCTCAGGGGTTGGAAACTGGCCCTCACTGGGTCCTTCTTTAAAAAAATAAGTGTACATATATTTAAAAATATATTAGTCACTGTGAGCATTTCACTTGGCGTGTCTGCCCATGATAACGTGGCTGCTTGGGAGCTCTGGAAAGCTCTACTACATTTTGGAAAAAAAAGCAGCAGCTGCTGGTGTGAGTCACCAGAAAACAATCCTGACGTGCATTACTTAGGAGAAAACAAGCAACAGCACCTTGCTTGGGAAAAAAAAAAGAGATTTGTGATGCAAAAATTGCTGTTAAGTCTGCCATGAGATAAATAAAAATGAAGGTCATTAAATGAGCCAAAAATCACACTGAATAATAGCACGGTGGGGGTGGGAAGGGACCTCTGGAGCTCCCCCAGTGCAACCCCTGCCAGAGCAGGGTCACCAGAGCAGTCACACAGGAACACGGCCAGGGCTTCGGGTGTCTCCAGAGAGCAAGCCACCTTTTGTACTTCAAAACCAAACTGAGATCAGGTTGTAAGAGAGACAGTGAGGGAAATGCACAGGCAGAGTAACGCAGCTGCATGGAGCAATGCCTCTGCTCTGAGACCTCACTGGTCGGGGGGAGCACATCAGTCAGTGTCAGTGTGACAGTGCTGAGCTCAGAGGTGCTGTGCCCTGGCCTGAGCACCCCATCCCAGACAGGAGGATTTGGCATCGCATGGGTTCCAGACATCCTGAACCCCCGAGGCAGCGGCCATGGGCTGGCCAGGCGCCGGTGACCCAGGGACAGCGTGTGCCCTGCCCTGCACAGCTCAGCCCTGGCTGGCTCCACCGCGCAGGAACGTGGGAGCCTTGGCTTGGGCACATCAGGTACCAAGGCTGATCTGGGTCAGTGTTTGACAAGAAGTGACCTCCCTTCCGGATGTCACACACTGAGATGCAGAGAAAGCAGGAATATAGATAAAAATCACCAAATCACAGCATGGCCAGCATGGGAAGGGACCCCTGGAGCTCATCCAGTCCAACCCCTGCCAGAGCAGGGTCACCAGAGAAGATCACCAAGAAACACGGCCAGGGGTTTGGGTGTCTCCAGAGAAGGAGACTCCACAACCTCTCTGGGCAGCCTGGGCCATGCTCTGCCACCCTCACATCAAGGAGTTTTTCCTCATGTTTGGGTTGCACCTCCTGTGTTCCAGTTTGTGACCACTGCCCCTTGTCCTGTCGCTGGGCACAACCCAGCAGAGTCTGGTCCCACCCTCCTGACCCAGACCTTGAGATATTGATGAGCATTAATGAGATCCCCTCAGTCTCCTCTTCTCCAGCTGAACAGCCCCAGCTCTCTCAGCCTTTCCTCGTGTGGGAGATGCTCCAGTCCGCCCATCATCTCTGTAGCCCTCCACTGAAGCAGGAAGGCCCCAGAGCAGCCTATTTCCCATTGCTTCTCAGTACTAGGAGCTCCCACCCAACTTGGTACCAGCAAGGATAAAACATCTCCACTTAGGAGGAGATTATAAAGGTAAATTTGTCACTGCTCCCACGCAAGTGGAGATGTTAGCCTCCCCAACCCCCAACCAACTGCAGCCTGCCATGAACTTCGCTCCATAAGAGCCAAAGCACTGGGAGCAGTTAAGCTGTCCGAGCTGAGGAGCTCAGCCAAGTCCATCAAAGGCTAGGGAAGATGGACTCTGTGCAATGTCACACGATATAAATAACCTGGGACAAAGATAGCACGACCCACGCTTGCCCCTGTTGCACAGCAGAATCCAACAAGGCCAGTGATGTATAGCATCCATACAAGAGGCTCCCACTGAGTAACACTGCACCAGCTGCGACAGAAATAAATGCAAAACCGGGTGAATTACCTTCATTGGGTTGTAGCGAGCCATTTTTCATGCCTAGTTTAACTGAGGTGCTCTCAGGTGCTGTGCAGAGGTTGTGGCATCCCCTACTCACACAGTGCAGGGACAACATTGGGTAACTCATGGTCTCTTCACGAGTCAGGCCACTTTGACTGGGAAGTTTAGAAGGGAGGATCCTGGCATGGTGGCCACCACAACAGCACCCATCAGGGAGCAAAACCCTGGCTGAGAGACCCAGGGGAAAGCAGGGACCATGGCCCATGCCCTGGATGGGTAGACAGGTCCAAAAACCTTTACTTTGTGAATAACATAAGAAGTGTCCCGTACCCTGAACAGGCTGAACTCCATCCAGTGACGTGACCCTGGCAGTGGAGCTGCTTTAGCCGTAAGGACAAGGAGACAGGATGTACCCTCCTGATGTGGACTATTTCATCTACCCTTGGACTGCACGTGACTGCTGGGTAACCTTGCGACAAGGTGGGAGAAGCCCAGGAATGCTGCAGATCCTGCTGCTGAGGGCAAACCTCAGCCTCCCCTTCCCAAATCTTTACACTTGGCGTAAGAGTCAAGTCATCCTCTCACCATTGATAGCTCCATCAACACCCATCCCCTGCCATGGCCTAGGCTGCTGTTGAAGCAGGGCTAGAAAACACACACGGAATCAGAGGAAAATCCAAGCTGGAAGGACCCTCAGGAAGCCTCAAGTCCAACTTCCTGCTCAGTTTTGTTGTCCAGGAAGGACATTCTTATCAATGAGCTGCTTTGAAGGACATCCATCCCTATTTGGTGGTTATTGAAAGTTTCCACGGTCATTAACCATGTTTCTCTCACGTCCTTTCCATCTGCAGTCACAGCAGGTCAGTGTTTCCTGGGCTGAAGATGCTGAGCTGTCCCATGGCCACAGAAGCAATAGCTCAGAGGAGATGCACAATATTTGTGTGGGTGCCTGAGCCAGGCTGGATCATTGCATGGTCCCACCCCTGGAAGCTGTCCTGTGTCAGGAAAAATTCATTTACTGAATGAGTGGCCAAGCACTGGCAGGGGCTGCCCAGGGCAGTGGGGGAGTCCCCATCCCTGGAGGGGTTCACAAACCGTGTGGATGTGGCACTTGGGGCCATGGTTTAGTGGCCATGGTGGGGTTGGGTTGAGGTTGGACTTGATGATCTTAGAGGGCTTTTCCAACCTTCATGATGCTGTGATTCTATGTCAGGGTGGGGACCATGGCCCCAAAGCCCTGCCCAGGTACCTCACACAATGTCTATGTGCAAGCTCCCAGCACACCAGCAAACACCCATCTCCAGTGAAAAGCTGCAGTATCCCTTTTAGAAAAGCCCTGAGCTGGACACAGGATGGAAAACGTTGCTCTCTGACACCCTGAGGTCAGTGAAGTGCCTTAAAACAAGCAAAGACATTTCTGGTCCCAGCTGGAAACTGGAGACGTCTCCCATCCCACGGGAAATGCTTGCTGCATGGCCAAGCAGCACACGAGGCTGACACCCAGACAGGGGGGCACTGCACAAACCAGGGCTTTGCATGGGAGCAGGAGCAAAAAGCCGAGGTGAACTGGCACTTTGACGCTGTGTTTTCAGCTCTCCGTGTTCTCTTGCAAAATAAGTTTATCCTTAAGTGGTCCAGCTCCAACCATGCCAACAAAAGCAAAGGATCCCAAGTAGAATGCAGTCATCACAGCCCCACCATTAACATGAAGTCTCAGAGGGGTTTTGGTGAACTCCTCTGGGATGGACGTTCCATTACCAGCCCCAGCACAAGGCTCCCACCTCCTCTGGGTGCTCTGAAGTCAGTGAGGAAAGAGGAGGAGGCAGGCAAGCTGTCATGGAGGGGCTGGTTGTACCCCCTCTTCCATGAAGGATCCTTCCCAAGCAGGGTCCAACACCCCAGCAACAGGCACCTTTGGGGCTGGATGCTGCTGAGACGTCAAACCTTGCCCCACTCGCACATTTTGGGTGATGAGCAATCTGACAAGATTTCAGAAATGAAATGAGACCTCCATTTTGATATTTAAAACAAAGCTGGGCTTGAGCAGTACATGCTCTAAAAATGCCTGGAATTAAATCACGCTTTTCTCCCTTTGCTTTTTTTACACACGGCTAACCTACTTTCTCTCACATCAAAGCCTGCTGCGTAGCTCGCCTGCACTGAAATTACCACCGCAAACACATCTCAACCTCATCCATTCAGACCTGCTTCACCCCAAAAAGCTGTGCCTCCACCTTGTCTGTCTCAAAAATCACATCCCCACGACCCTGACAGCCTGCCAGGACCCCCAGGCACCAGATACGTGAGATTTTGCTGTCTGGGCATCGCTTGCCAGTTTGAATTCACACCCAAAATATTCCACTTTGTCTTTTCCCATTAAAGTTTTGCCCTGTCCCGCTGCAATTAGACCAGAGGGGATGGCAGGGCAATGACCTCAGCTGACCAAATCGCAGTGCTGCCTCTCCGGTAGCTCCACAAGCCCACCCTGATGACATTTTTCCACTAAATAAAGAAAAATGCGCTTTCAACAAGCAGCCCCCATTGAAAGACTCTCAGCTCTGCCACAGAGACCTGCTCTGAGCGACAAGGAAACACAGCGACCTGTTTTCACCAACAAACATTACTTTATGTATTTACCTCCAATGGCCCCGGCAATGAAATCCATCCAGTGCTGTCTTAATTACCCTGATTAAGTGCTAGGGAGGTAGAAGAAGGGAGGGGACCGGTTCTGTCTTCAGAGATTTGCGATAGGAATCACCTTCCTCCCGTCCTCTCTCTCCTCCGGGGATTGCGAGCCCCGCGGGAACTTGGTGAATTTGTACACGGGAGGCAGGGACGGGAAGGCTGGAGCAGCGCCAGGGACACAGTGAATGAGTAATCCCCTGAAACCCTGCAGTGCTGCGCCGGAGCCGCCGTTCCCAGCGCCTTTCTGCTTGGAAAATCACGAGGGGTGACGCTGGCTGGGAAGGGGCCATTCCCCCATTGTCCTTGTTAACCCCAAAAGACAACCTGGCACGTGTGTTTGCCAAAGGAACCTCTCACCATGGATAAGCGGCACGGGGGGCTGTGTATGAGATGCCTTCTCCCCCCATCCCAGTCCACTCTTCCTCCTCCTGATGGAGCAGACCCCCTGCCCATCGAGGAAAATTCCTTGTGCCTTTCCCCAGGGCTTTCCTAACCCGCACAGCTGACCCTAAACCTCTACCCAGCTTCCCACGGATTATTACCTGCTCATTATGTATACTCATATATATGCTCATAATGCTTATATTTCATATGTCCTGAAGCCCAGAAATAATTCCAACCCCATACAAAGCCTTTGCTTCCCTTTCAGACTGCAGGGTAGTGGTGCCAGGCCCTGGAGGAGCTCTGCTTCTCTGCTCCTTGCTCAGCTTCCCAACCCCTTTTCCAACATCAGCTCCTTGTCAAGTTCAATGGCAGAGCAGGAACCACGATTTCTGCTGCTCGTGCTCCAGTGTTTTACCCCACTGGGCAACTGGGAGATGGATTTTGGCAAGAGACTGCTCCAGCACCTAATTTTTTTCTGCCTTATTGACACCCAGCACAGGGCGAAGATCTCAGCAGGGGAAAGAGAAAAGCACAGAGAGACACCCCTCAAGGAGGATCTTCTCTGCTCAAGGAGAACCAAGAGCCCAAGACAATGCCATCTTGCCTATATTTGCGCAACAGCCTCACACCAGAGAGGTGGAGTTTTGCCCGGCATGAACCTGGAAACCGAAGTCCTGATGCAGCCAAGGGCTTGCCAAGTCCTGACCTGAGGTGTCCTCCTCTCCCCGGGTCAGAGCCAAGGCATTTTGGCAGCAAAGTGAAAAGAAACATTTCACGGCTGTTGCCCCCCTGGGTTGGCTCCACAGAGCGGCTGAGGGGTGTCCTCTTCTCCAAGAGGTTTCCCCGGGTCAGAGCCAAGGCATTTTGGCAGCAAAGTGAAAAGAAACATTTCACGGCTGTTGCCCCCCTGGGTTGGCTCCACAGAGCGGCTGAGGACTTTACTCCCCAGTGCTAAGTCTCTCGCACATTTCACAAGAACCCATTTCTCGCTGAAAGTGCACATTTTGGATGGGCTGGTGCGTCAGCGGCACACAGCGCAGCTCCACGTGCGAGCTCAGAGCTTCTAGGAACTGAAAATTAAAGGATTTTTAACAACTCGCTTCCCATCATTTCTTACACATCCTTCCCTGAGTGCTTTCTGCACTGGAGAGAACACTTTATTCCAGTGTAATGTCATTCAAGGACAGCAAAAACTTAAAACCAGAAGTCAAATATCATCTAGAGAGATAGCAATGTGGCTGCTAAAGCACACTGGGTTATTCAGTAGCCCTTCCTCGTCACCCCTGCTGGCCATGAGTGAAGAAATCCATTATATTCCCAATATGAAAGTCCCACCGCGTGTTCTCTCCCATTGCACGGCCGGGGGTGTTGTGTGGGTGGGGATTTTTTGAAGTATTGCAGTGGCTGGTGCGATATCAGCAGAAAATAGTGACTGGTTGGTATGTCAGACTGGGTCACCACAGCGTCAGGTTCAGTGGCCATGGTGGGGTTGGGTTGACGGTTGGACTTGATCTTAGAGGGCTTTTCCAACCTTAATGATCCTGTGATTTGATTTCCCATAAAATGTCACCAGACCAAGCAAAATTTCTACCTCCTTTAGCTGAGCTGAACAGCTCAAAGGGCATCTTCCTCATGAACCCTTCTGAGACTGCGAAAAGAAAACAACCACCTACCCAGAAACCTTCCCTTTACAACAGAAAATTAACCCTTGAATTAATCTTGAACTTTCAGGAGTATCTTCAAGGTCAAATACGAGTTGTTCCCGTCACCCTTTGACACAATGTCCAAGGACTGACAGAGATAACTTATAGTCCAGCTTGCAAGGAAATGCCGTGGTCCACGTCTATGCAGGGATGAGCCAAAGTGCCTTATCTCACCCTAGGTGGCCTTCTCAAAGCATGCCCTAGGAAATCCAACACACAGAACACGTGCTTTGGGCCTCCACAAGGGATAGCACCCCCTAGAAACAACACACAAGTCCTCTCCTCCAGTAGCGAGCTGTTTTAAGAGTGATTTGTTCAAAAGCAGTTGAATTTCACAGGGGATTTTGAGAAAGTGGCGCGTGGAAGGCGCTGTCAGATGAAAAGATAGATCTGACGACAGGAAGCAATTATGAAACGAAGGGATAGAAAAACGAGGAAGGCCTTAATTTCGCACAGCATGCCATGATGAAACATCCCATTTTCTGCACAGGAGGAGGCAGCCGTCTGCCCGCCCCGGCAGAGCCAACGGCACCGCGCTCGCATGCGTATCCACGAATCCCCATCCAATTTATTTTAGAGAAAGCCTTGACGGAAGAGGCTGTGCAAACAGCGTCCCCCCGCTACATCCCCGGGGCTGTTTGCACATTGCGGAACAGGAAAGGGTGACACCAGCAGCGCTGAGCTGGCAGGACCCGGTGCTTGGCGCGCGTGGCGGTGGGTGGGAAGGGGGGTGGGACCTCCTGGCTGCTGCTGTGCTATGGATTTTTCAAATCTAAGCATCTCCTTGTCCTTTATTTTAGGTACTAATGAAAAAAACCCCAAGAATTCCAAGGACTCAAACCTCTACAGCA